GATACATTGCTTTGAAATGTTGTACAGTCATGGTTCCCAAATGATGCATCCTTCTGACTTTCGTGATCCCTGACTTCTCACCTAGCGCCACCCACAAGTCAAAGTTTGCTCTTTTTCAGTGAGATACTGTAGTTTGACATCTCCTGAAGGATTGACACACAAACCTGTACATATTGTACTTGTCCTACTGACTTTGGTATTCCTCTGACTTTTTCTTCAGTGCCACCATGAGGTTGACATTTTTGGTTTTGAGTGTAAGGTCTTGACAACTATTAGATGGATAACTGTTAAAGCTTTGCTACAGATATTCAAGAGTCCTAGAGGATAAATCAAGATGACCTTGGTGGATCATTACCTTTTCACAGTGCAACCATTTTAGAATCCAATACTTGTGACACCACGGTGACTACGTCCACTTCCTATATACAATTTATGGTGTTTAGTGCAATTTGATAATAGTTGGTTAGCATGCTAATAGGCTAAACCAAGATGTTGATCCCGGTAAATATTACCCGCAAAACAAATCTGCACGATATCACTGTGACATCATGCTCGGCTGCTAGCGTGTTATGATTGTGTTTAAGCTCACAAAGCACCTCATTAAGGCTCGGGAAAGATCAGAGAAGCCAACACTGACTTGAAGCACAAGACTTGTTGTGTTTACTTTATTAATGTTTAGCCAAGACTAACCTTTTCTTAATGTTAAACAAACACGGGACAAATCTGATACAAAGTTCTGTGCTTTGCACGCTCACCATCCCCCCCGACCACCTTCCTACGACTTGTGTTCAGTACATTAAGGTAGCACTTATAAAACAAACACAGACAATGCACATATAACACTTGCTCAATGTGCAAAACAAATTAGTAGAATACAAACATCATTTTTATCACACGGTTGCCTTTTTCTAATTATCCGACAGATTAATTAGGCCATTTATTACATTGAGTTGATTGAATTTGACACCTTCAGCCTTTTACAGGATATCGACTGACGGCGTTTTCAAAAACTGTTACATTACTCATCATTTAACCCCTCGCCTGGCAGCTTCGCATTGTGGCAAAAAAAAGTGTTGTTGCATTATTTATGACCTTGGCCTTCACGCTGACTCCTGATGGCTGTGGCAGCGGACAATGTGAATGTGTAATGATTCTGTACTGGCAGGGCTCACATCCAGTGCATGACTAATCGATAGATGCTGGTCTCTCTCTCTCTCTCTCTCTCTCTCTCTCTCTCTCTCTCTCTCTCTGCCTCTATTGATCAGCTAGTGTGTGTGTGTGTGTGCCTGAGCCAGCCTGAACAGACAGAAAAAAAGCCTCGCTCCTCATTACTCAAAGAGCAGTCCAAGCTTTGTCATGTTTGATGGAAACCAGTCCTCTTTTCCCTGACACTGTCCACAATGTTAGAGAATGAAAAATGAAGTTCAGATCTTTTAGTGGGATTATTATATCAAATGCCCTCGCCTCCCTCCAGACCAGAAGCACAATGTCATTTGTAATGTCGCTTAAAATTGCAGCTTCTGCCAGCGTTAATAAGTCATTTTATAACTTACCAGAATGATAAAAGAAGTCTATCTTTAGCTGCCTTCAGCTCCAGAGGTTTGGATACATAATAGGCCTTTTCTTTTTTAAATCCTCAGCAGGCAGCTAGCAGAATAGGCTAGAAAATGAACTGAATGACCTTGTGGAATAAACCCTCTATTAAGCAGTTATGAATGCATGTGAGATTGAGAATATGCATGTGCTTAACGAGGTCAGTGTCTAGGGGAAATCTTTGGCTCGTGTTTACGAAGACAATAAATCACCTGTATCTTGTGACAAAAAAAAAAGATAGACTTGATATCAAGTCTGACACCTCGGCTCTCACATAGATGCTATCTGCATGGAAATTCCATCATAACAACGTCGTTGTTAAACCCACACATGAGTTCAGGCCCATAGCGATGTAATCAGGAACTTTAACGGCATGTAGAAGTCTGTCAGCGGCTGTGGCCGTCAATCATCACAATCCCCGACCTTATTATTCAAAGGTTTCATCCAAACTACAGAGCAAATCAAAACAGTATTTTCTCAACCAGTCTGTGTTTTACAAGCATGACCCAGAGGACTTTACATTTAATTTGTTTTCAGCTATCATATTTAACTGGAGAGTGACTTGGATGAAAGAAACGGAGAGGGAAAAGGGAGGTTTTTTAGCCAAAGGCTGTTCGATAATGAGTGTTGTTACAAAATGAAAGTGTGTCTTCTGTAGGGTCGGAGCTTTCTATCTGTTAACTTTTTGTTGAGCTGATTCTTCAGTGTTTGATAAGCGGCCTTGTAGTCGACACTCAAAAACACAACAGCCTGGTTCCTTTTAATCCTGACACGTAACGTGTTCATCCCTCAGCGGGAATATGAAAAATAGTCTCTGGTCTACCGGCTTTTGCACGAGTTGGACTGGAAATGATGTAACTTCTTCAACTTAACTCCTTTTTCTCTTTTAAAAAACACTTGATGTTTTGTTGCCATGGAGACCAAAAAAAAACAAAAAACATCCCGTGCTTCCTGAGATGCAACTACTGGGAGGTTGTTAGTAGCAGCAGGATGTTTTGCTGCAGATGACACATTTTTCATGTCATCACATTTCTATGCAGTGATTGTACTGTTTATCTGAAAGAAACTGTCATCTGAAAATTACCTTACCACTAAAAAATGAGTTAAGCCACATGAATCTGTTTCATCACACAGATGAAACAATCAGTGACAATACATATTTATATTAACAAGTCTGTCTTTAACCCCAAGATTAACAATTACAAAATGCAGCTACAGCATGAATCAAGAAACATGATGTACTCTCCGCCTTATCAGCATTTTAATATGTAATACTAACAAGTGTCTCTTTTGTATGTATGGATATGATTAACGCATACAACAACTATACTCATTTTCAATTAATCTGTACATTGGTTTCTCGATAACTCAATTAATAATTTGGAAAATAGTGTAAAATACCCATCACAGTTTCCAGGAGCTGACATCTTCAAATGTCTTTTTCTGTCCGACTAACTGTCCAAAACCAAAAGATATTCAGTTCACAATTATCTAAAACTGAGAAAGCAGCAAAACGATCACTCTGGAGCTTCGTAAATGACTTAAATGAGTATAATTAATGATTCATTTTCTGTCACTCGATTAATCGATTGTTTCAGCTCGAATGTGAAACCTGGTTCAGGTTGGGTCTGTTCGGTCGGAGGGGTTGAGGTCAGAGGTCATGGGGTCCTCTCACTAAGATGGCATCAGGCGTGATTGGCTTACTACTTTACTTATTGTGTATGTTTTTATTTGTAATGTTTCCACCTGTTTTTCCTCACTTGAAGACCTCCCAGCTTTCTCTCCCTTATCTTAAGAGCCACAATGGAAATAAGCTTTGTGTTTTTTCATCCGTGACTGTTGTATTGTACAGGGCCGTGTTTCTGCAGTCTTGTATTTACTTTATTGAATGTGTTTATCTAAGATGTCCTCAGCAGAGGTATCGGCCTCTGTGAAAATATAGCGACTCAGATCTGAGGAGGGACAATTCAATCCACCTCAGAGCTGCAGAGAGGAGACAAAGGACAGAGGGGAAATATATGTTTGAAGGAGTGGTGGTGCTGTTCGTCACCTGTAGGCTCTCACTCAACAATCTTTGAAGTCAATGATGAGGAGTGCAACACTGTCACTCTGAAGTTCAACTTCTTCGGTATTGCGTCTTTGTATCACAACGTGCGTTAATTAAAACAAGACCTGAGATGTGAGAACAGCTGTCAACACTGAAGTGATAACGATATTCAACACGTCTGAGGTCTGATTTTGTTTCGGCAGATTTGTTTTTCTGTGTATGTGTAGTCACTCCACACTTGATCTGGTAATTTAGGGAATTTTTAGCCATACTTTAGCAATACATTTGATGACTTGGTAACAGGGTAATAGATACAACTGAGGACACTGATATCATCTCCTTGGTATTGTGCCTGAGCAAGAGCCTAGGTTTTGTTTCAACATATAACACGCTGAACTGCAGCACACTGCAACACTAGAACCAGATATTAATAATGACAATGTGTTGGAGAATATATATATATATATATATATTATAATTATGGCCTTGTGCCTGAGAGTTTGAGGGTGTGACACAACCTGAGGAGTAAACATTATAGTTACAGAACAGTTACAGTTACATGTGGAGTGAGTTTTGAAAGTCTTCTGATTAATTTTTCAACCCTCTTTTTTACTGTCTGGCAAGGCAAAGAGGGTCTTTAAAAATAGCATTGAGATCATTGTGAAGGGAGAGAATTTTATAATTTTTTATACTATATTGATCCCTTTAAGGGGGAAATTTGTCTCTGCATTTGACCCATCCCTGTATTTAGGGAGCAGTGGGCTGCCAATGACAGGCGCACGGGGAGCCAGGGGTTCAGTATATTGCTCAGGTACACTTCGACACGTGACACGTCCCAGTCGAGGATCGAACCGTTGACCTTGCGGTTGCCGGACAACCCTGTGACCCACGTCGCCCCTAATATACAGAATGTGGACTTTTAAGCTGTTATGGTGGCAAGTTTTTCTCAGGTGGGGTCGGTTGAATGTGTCTAAGGAAGGTCCAACATGTAAGATTTGTGTTTTCAGCCTTTATTTTGAAACAGGGGCTAATGTGCTTTGATGTATTACTTCAGCATGCTTTTCCTTCTATACACAGTACTCCTCCAGACAGTGAGAGGTTTTCCTAACTCTTTATTTTCAGGCAAGAGGTCAATAGGTTTTTTACATCAGTGTCATCGGCTTTAAGACGATTTTCTCATATGTCGAGAAGATGCTGCCGCCATGTTTGCACAGAATAGAGGCTCATCTTTCCCTTTGGGGTTTGACATGTTGAAATTAAAACCCAGAGTTGACCAATGAAAATAAAAAAAGAGGAGATTGTATATTAGCATCGAATCCCATTTAACCCAGTGCACGTCCTCCCGAAGTCCCAGACAGCGATGGGCGCCTTTGATGACGCTCGTCAGTATGAATTAAAAACAACACTGATTTTGCATTTCCGTTATGAATCAGCTGTAACAAAGACTGACACCTGAGACGCGTCTTTGAGGCGATTCTCTCACCCGATGGCGGACGATATTTTCTTTTTTTTTCCCCGAGTGGAAATGAGGCGACTGATCCCGGGGCCTTCTATCTGTTACTGAAAAGCATATTTAGACGAATACACGTGGACTGTGCACACGTGCACAACTCCACTGAACGCTCGTGCGCGCATCGATTCACAAGCATGGTGCGCGCGTGTTTTCAGCACCACGGAGAGCAACACCCCCTCAACCAGAAGAGAAATGCGACGCGAAGAAAAAGCAAATGAATAGTTTCATTCATGTGGTTTGGACAGTGAACATCTGGACGTCCGCAGTTCGGTCCTCTGCTGTCAGTTTTCCCGACAAACCCGATTACATCAGCTCAGTTTCTGCGGAAGACGTGAAGCAATGACTGATGTCGAAAGTAATATCGGACTTTATTGCAGACCCAGTGCGGAAGAGGACATTGTTGTTCTTATGTGTTGTGATTGTTCATGAAGTAAACTCCCTTTAAATGCCACAAACAGAAACCTGTGAATGTTTTACGACAGCAGAGCTGATCACACGTTCATGTCTGCGTTTAAACACGCTGATATAAGAATCGCACGAGGTATAAACGAGCTGACTATAATAAATAATATAAGTTGGCTCAAACAGGTGTGATTTCATCAAGTGTTTTTGTTCCACCACATGAATGAATGAATGAATGAATGAATGAATGTGTGCGCGCGCGACATTAAGTGTCAAGTTAATTTCAGATTGGGCGGGTGGTGGACGTAGGATGTCAGACAAATGCGCGCCGTGCGGGTGTCGGCGTGTTTGTAAAGAGAGAGAGGAGGGGGGAGGGGGGCAGAGGGGAGCGCAGCGCTTCAGTGCGTGGATACGCGGAGAAAGGTGATGGTTAGAAGGGATGTAAGTGGCGTCGGCCTCAGCTCTCCAAGGCTGTAGTGCTTTGGCTGGGAGAGGCGTGGCGCACTCTGCCCCTCCGGACCGAAAAACCACCTGTATTGATGACCAGACATCTGGCGTGATCCAACCCCGCGTGAACGCCAGGCACAAGGGCAGCAACGCGACCGACGGCCGGGGCTATGCCGAGGAGGAGAAGGGCGTCATGACGGCGGAAAGCATGCTGGAGGAGCCCGCCGTGCTCTCGGCGCCTCATCTGTCGGTGGATCGATACGAGCGCGGCCGGCAGGGATGCTGCGAGAGGGTGGTCATCAACATTTCGGGCTTACGCTTTGAGACGCAACTTAAAACTTTCAACCAGTTCCCAGACACGCTGATGGGGGACCCGAGGAAAAGGATGCGCTACTTCGACCCGCTGAGGAACGAGTACTTCTTCGACAGGAACAGACCGAGCTTCGATGCCATCCTGTACTACTACCAGTCAGGGGGGCGCATACGGAGACCCGTTAACGTCCCCATTGATATTTTCTCCGAGGAGATCCGGTTCTATCAACTCGGAGAAGAGGCCATGGAGAAATTCCGCGATGATGAAGGGTTTATAAAAGAAGAGGAGCGCGTGTTGCCCAAAAGAGAATTCCAAAAGCAGGTTTGGCTTTTGTTTGAGTATCCTGAAAGCTCTGGACCAGCGCGGGGGATAGCAATAGTTTCAGTGCTTGTCATTTTGATTTCAATCGTTATTTTCTGCATGGAGACTCTGCCAGAATTCCGGGACGACAGAGACGCCACAGTGGCACCCACTGTCAACGGCACTGCCCCCTACGTGCCGAACCCGTTCACAGACCCCTTCTTTGTGATCGAGACCCTGTGCATCATATGGTTCTCTTTCGAGTTACTGGTCAGGTTTTTCTCCTGCCCCAGCAAAACTTACTTCTCCAAAAACATCATGAATATCATCGACATCGTTGCGATATTCCCCTACTTCATCACTCTGGTGACCGAGCTGGCCGAGACGGAGACCAACGGCGGCCAGCAGGCCATGTCCCTCGCAATCCTGAGGGTGATCCGACTGGTGAGGGTCTTTCGCATTTTTAAGCTGTCGCGTCACTCAAAGGGACTTCAGATTTTGGGACAGACCCTGAAGGCCAGCATGAGGGAGCTCGGCTTGCTCATATTCTTCCTCTTCATCGGGGTTATCCTCTTTTCCAGCGCTGTTTACTTTGCGGAAGCAGACGACCCCTCGTCCAGTTTCACCAGCATCCCAGATGCGTTTTGGTGGGCGGTGGTCACCATGACCACGGTCGGATATGGAGACATGCACCCGGTGACTGTTGGTGGGAAAGTCGTGGGTTCGCTGTGCGCAATAGCGGGCGTGCTGACCATTGCCTTACCCGTGCCAGTGATTGTGTCCAACTTCAACTACTTTTACCACAGGGAGACGGATGGAGAGGAGCTCCCACAGTACGTGCACACCAGCAGCTGCGAGCACCTCCCCCCTGAGGAGCTGAGGAGGTCGTGCAGCTCCTCATCCCTGAGCAAGTCGGACATGGTGATAGAGGAGGGCATAAACAGCGCGTTCAAACAGCCCAACTTCTCCACCGAAAACAACCAGAACTGCGTGAATATCAAAAAGATCTTCACGGACGTGTAAATGAACACCAGAACGGGGCATTTACGGAGCATTAAGACTTATAGCTTATTATATATTTTATTTATATATGTATATATAGAGAGAGGACCATTATGTGTCAGTCCATATCTGTGGATGAACGTGCGTAATTTTTTTATTTTTAACGAGTCATGTTGTTTTTTAGGCTATAAGCAAACGAGATCTTTTTTTGGTTCCATGTGATTCATGTGTTTTTGAGTATTTCTAAGAGACCAAGAAGTATTAATATGAACCAGAAAGAATCGCACTGGAAAAGTAGCCTTGTCGTTTCGGCTCAAGCTGTCGAAAACAACAGCAACGACGACAACAAGAGCATTTAATGAAGTAAGCGGCTTGTTAAAAGCGATATTTCTTCATTACAGTGCCACTCGATGCCTACATATCTTGATGTCTGTGCGAAGGTTGTTGGTGTTCATGATTGGGAGACACGTGTAGCATATTGTCTACTTACTATATTGCATTTACCCACTAGTCAAAGAAAATTGACGTTTTGTGCTTCGTGGAAAGAAGAGTTTAATTGTCCAGTAATGTAATGAATAGACCATGGTACTTTATACAGCCAAATGTCTGTCTTAGATTATATTTAATATCATAACTTGTCGAGATATTGGACTCTGAGTCTTGTTCACATGCTTATTCAGGTAATAACACCGAGTGGTGTAGATGGAAACACTTATGAGATATGAGTCTAGCTTTTCATAAAATTGTATTTTTATTCAGAGCTGCCTATATAGCCTATACTAAATAAAACGGAAATGAACTGACCCAGACTCAAAATGTCATTATAACATTTCGCTAAATATTTAATATCATTGCAATTTTCGTCCAAAGCGAGCCGAAGGGAATATGAAATATATAAAGTGTGTTTGGGGCCATGTGCGCACTGGATGAAAGGAGGGAGAGCGTGCAGAACGTCCCGCCTCGTGATGCAGTCTCCATGACGACGGTGGTTTCCCGGGTAACCCCCTCTGATGATACCATGGCCTTGTGTTGCATTTTCACAAAGACTGTTCAACAGTTTATCACCTGTGTGTCCTTGAGGGGGAGGGGGGGGGGGGGCGACAACTGCAGGTGAATGTTTTTGATATTATGTGAGACTCGCATAATAATATATCGGGTTCCTTAAAGGTGGATAACTCATTATCAATCGTTACTCCGTTGCCTTAGTCTCCGGCAATGAGCTGGCCCACATGTAATACAGTGGGAATCATGAGAAGCTGTTGTGCAGCCTCTGTCTTGTTCCCCATCATACCGCCTCAGCTGCTCTGCTTTTCAGACGTGAGCCTCATTCTGAGTTGGCATGCCAACTATAGTCTGACGTCAGCTATATACCTTTTCTTCCCCTCCAGCAGACATTTGCACGTGTGCTTTTGGTACAAGGTGAGGGCTGAAGTGACGCAAACAAACTCGATGGAGTTTACATTAATCACAGGGCTTCCTCTTCGTGTTGCAATAGGTTTTTCAAAATTGCAATTCTGACTTTACTTCCACATGTTCTTAGGGCTACAGCCTTTGATTGTTTTCATTGTCGACTAATCTGTTGATTATTTTATCATTTCACCTTTTAAATGTCCTTAAAATAGTGAAAAATGCCTGTAATAGTTTCTCAGAGTCCGAAATGATGTCTTCAAATGTCTTGTTTTGTTCAACTAACAGTCCAGAATCTAAAGGTGCTCAGTTTATGATGACGATGACATAAAAGGGAGAAAAGCAGAACATCTTCACTTTGCAGAAACTGGCAGCATGCAGACAATGTTTGGCAACAATTTTGAGTCAAGCAAAAATGCCAATTAAGCCAATTAGAAGACAAAGCTGTTCATAATTCAAAAGTACAGACAGCAATGTTTTTTATAAGCTACTGTTTTGCGTCATTAAGTAGTTTAAATGATGTTGTATTGCCGTTGAGCCGTAGGTATAGTCATGCCAAGTTAACTGTTGTTTTTAAACAGGGCTTCATCACTCTGAAAATAGCTCCGTGCTGCCCTCTAGCGGATGTACTGAGGTATTACTGTTGGGAAGAAGTTTAATATTGAGCTTGTGCTGATGATATTTAGCCCTGTCTTATTAGTTATTAGAGTGAATCTGTTATTGTGCCTTTATACTCATGCTAGTGCATACACACTTTGTTCTGACTGCCTAGTAGTGAGACTCCCTGAGCCCACTTTCGCGACTCAAAAACATCATCATTGTTTTATTAACTTGATACTTTGCCCTTCTATAAGGACGATTTTGAGCTGATGACGTTTCAGATGTCCGCCACAGAAAATGACGCGTTACTTTTGTTTGACTTATGTTCTCTATCTGTGATAGGACAACCAACTGTGCTTTTATTTCTCTGTGAATACAATTTTTTTTGCAGTCAAATTTATATATTTGTTCATGTATAGCCCATGTAACATATAAAACATATTTATATTTTCTTTTGGTGTAATAACAATGCCTCGTGGTCATATTTAGTCATTAAATGTGCAAGCCCCTTTGTGGCGTAGCAAAGTGTTACCACGTCAATACTTATTTAGGTTTTTTTCAGGTGAAAGAAAAAGAAAACTTTGGTCTGTGAGACCACAAACAATCAGGGAGGAACGGTGTTTTGTCCTCGGCCATGCGGCTGTCTGGGATTTATCATTCAGGTCAGGACACTACCTGAAAGTTTCACCTAGAGACTTTTAGTCTGACCCACAATTCTTACGTTTCCCAGGAGACAAAAGGAAAAACAGTTAGTGAGCCTGAGTGCTACGAGACTTTGAACAAGCACATCAACGAGCCTCAGAAGTGGATGTGAAGGTTACTTGAAATTCACTTTGCAGTATGCTTGGCTGTCACACAGAAACATCCGTTGTTGTAGAAACACATGAAAGCTCATGAAGTCTGTTTACAAAGCAACATTTTCACAAAAGACTAAGAGCTAAGAATAATAGAAGGCACTTAAGAACAAATTCCCTCTGAAATAAACAACTTGCATGATTTTCTATCCTATATTTATAATACACTGTACAGGTAACTGATATTTTGAATTTTGTTTGGTTAAGTTTCCAATTTGACAAAAAATGCCCTGTTTTAGTAAGACGTGGTTCGCATTTGATTTGTGTACACAAAGCCTCCACACTAACAAAAACATTTAAGGAAGACAAACACAACTCTCGAAGAAGAGCCACTGAAGGCTACAACATATATTATGACCGTCCACATTTTAAACCATTTTTAAGTGATGCAGATTTAACCCTTCGTCCACTCATTCCGGGCGTTAAGGACCTCAGTCCTGCAGAACAGACGCCATGCGGCCCACAGCTCCAGGTGCTCTGTCTCAGAACTGCTGAGTGGCTTTGTTCCCTCTGTCTCATCTGGAATTTAAGTCCTTGTTCAGTGCATTTTCAACCAGGGGAAATGAAAACGTGTCTGCAAGTTATTCGGCGTCGTTAATCGTCTGCTGCAGTTCAGCCTGTCTCATTCTGGTTTGTGGAGAGGTAAGAGTCCCATCAGAGGTGCCCTCTGTTGTGGCCTCATGTGGAGATCAGTGTTGCTTTTACAGTATTTAAATAAATAGAACATTATCATTTCTTTCAATAAACTCTTCTTGAATTGCCCCTTTGTTCCTGGGAACTGGGTATCAAACTGTAGTATCAAAGTAGCAGAAGCTGCCATTAAAGCTACATTCATCCATATTTCTCTCTTGACATGCTTCTGTCAGGATTTCTGAGTCTTTCAGCTTTTCAGCTCTTTTCTGGCCTCCAAACTCTGCTCTTGTAATGTAAGTGAAAAAAGCTGAGCTAAGCAGATGCTACCTAACATGTTAAGCATCAATACAGCAGACAGACAGAAGTTAGTGGCTAGCTGGTGAACATACTGGAGCATTTAATAGTGAAAGACCCGGATCTTTCCCTCAGAACTTGGTGGAGACAAAAAGAGCTAAAAGGAGAGTGATTAGCTGACTTCCATTCATTTCAACACTAGAAACAACTAACATGTTACTTTAACAACTTTAGAAGCTGATCATTTCCACCTCTGTAAAGTGGCCAAAAAATGAATGCAGCTCTCAGTTTGTTTGTCATTTTGTTTACTTTCTCTCATTCAGGTAGTTCTTGATTTGAATCAATATTTCGGCAGTCATTTCTTTAGATAACGGCTGCTTGTATCTAGACAACATTGGCTTTTAGTTTGAAGATAGTTTGTTAAAGTTCATAGAACTTCCAAAGAATGGAAGAGTATATTTTTCTCATCTGTTCTGATAAAATGTTACCCAACCCTCTTTGTGTAATAACATAAGACTTACATGTTACTATAGATGTATAGAGATGAACATGCAGAACGCAGCATTGAGAAAAAGAGATTTGAAGCAGGCTGGACAGTGATGACTTTAATACGTGTGTCTGCGAGTTTTAAAAAGTGTTGACGTGTAGTTGGCTGGCTGTCCCTGCATGAATGCCTGCCTGTGTGTGTATGAATGAGCGTGCTTGAGTGCCGCACAGCTGCAAGACGGTCACAGCTGGTACGCCTAAGTGCACTGTGCTGTGGGATCCTGGTCAGAGAGAATGTGCACACACTGCACCGAGTCAAAGCGGACATGAGCTTGCATGCACACAGATGCAGGGAACTGCAAACAGTCGTCTCCGCAGCTGCTCCTTTCTGATACTGCTGCTGCAGGCAGATAGGAGGAGTCCAGGATCGTGTTCAGTCCAGGTGGGGGGGGGGGGGGGGGGGGTGGGGGGGCAGGGGGGC